CTGTACCACTGAGCTATCTCTCCAGCCCTATACACAGTATTTAAAAGCAGCCTTAGATGTTTAGATTTCAGTCTGCTGGATAAGGTGGTGCTTACTCCAAGTGTCAAATAAGATAATGCCGTATCCACAAACAACTACAAATACTCTTTGACTCACAGAACACAGGAATTAGGGGATGCTCTAGAGCAGAGGCTCCCAAAGTGTGGTCCTCAGGGCAACATGCACATCACCTGGGAACTCCTAAGAAATGCATACTCAGCAGGGCAGACATGGTGGTTGGCACAGGCTTACATTCCCAGCATTCTGAGAGGCTGAGGCGGGAGGATCACAAGTTCAAGCTCAGTCTGGATCCTGAGGGCTGGGGTTCAACCCTCAGCACTGAAAAAAAAAAAAAAAAAAGCAAATTCATGGGCCCCGGCCCAGCACTCCTGCATGAAAACTTTGGCCAAGGGGAGCCTAGCAATCTGTTGCAAGTTCAAGTTTGAGAAGCCCTGCCCTAGTGAAATCTCTCTAGAATACCCCCATTCAGGTGAGTGTCAGATAGCCAGATTCCCCGTTCATGCTTTCAGCAACCTGTGTGTGCGTTTGAGAGTGTTTGCACGTGAGTGTGCGTTAGTACGTGAGGCTGTGTGAACAGGCAAGTGTGTGAGCTGTTGGGAGCATAGGAACGTATGTGGATGTGTGCTCTTGTGAGATCAGGGCTGGAGGGGTTGATTGATCTGGCAGCGTTGGTTCTACACTCGACAAATCACAGATGTAGACTTTTCTGGGTCACAAACCCTGGAAAATCACATGAAACTGAAAACACCCTCCAGAAAAAAGCACAGGCACATGAACACATACCTACAAAGCTTTACTTACAGTTCCGAGTGCCTAATGTCTTGGGCTAAGAACTTCTGATCTACATTAAATTCTTTCCCAGCGTACTTTTCCTTTTGAGAAAAATGGAAGCAGGAAGAATATTTGCCTGTGCGATTCAGTACAGGCAGAAGGTGGCGCTGTAGAGACAGAATACGTAGTAGCATTTTGACCCAGCCACTCTAAAAGTGTCCAGAGGGTGAGGGGTGCACAGAGGTGTCTTCCCCTTCCCCTTCCCCTGGTCTTGTGAGGCTGTGTGCTACCGACCCTTCCCCTTGCCCTGCAAGCCTAGGAGTCTCTGGGTGTATCCACCACCCAGTTAACTTTACCCTGGCCGAGTTGCAGATGTGTCGGAGTGTCAGAGCCAAAGTTCCGCGGGTCTCTTTTCTAGCGCAGCCCCATCCTACAGCTGGAAACGGACGCCTGCACAGGGGTCCTGTCCGTTCTGCCTTGGTCCAGCCCTGCCCAGGCCGGCGGGTACGGCTCCGAGCTGGTGGGTCTGGCTCCAGGCGGCGATGGTGTGACTGTTTATGCTAATAAGGCAGACTTGTACTGGCCGTTCTCAGGGGAAGAATAATACATTTTTCTCATCTGATCCGTAAGCCAACCCTATTATCCTTAATATATGAGGGAACTGGGATCTACAATTCCGGATAGATGGTTCTCGGACCTGCAGGGCTGTAAGAACAGACTTCTGGGCCCTAGCCCAGTTTCTGATTCTGCAGCTGAGGTGGAGCCCACACAACTGTTATTTCCATCCAGTTCCCAGGTAGAGCCGAAGCTGTTGGTCTAGGCTTGGCAGGGAGCTGGTAGAAAATAGTGGACAGACCTGGGTTTAACACCAGAAATCTTCATTATGTATTTCAAAACAGCTAGAGGAGAAGAACTTGGAGAAATGAAAGTATTTAAGGGGATGGGAATACTATCCCAATTTGATTATTGTACAGTTGTACACAGAATCAATTGCATTGAATTGTAATACCCTATCCCATAAATAAGTACGAATATGTCAACTTTTTTAAAAGAGTCAATCAAATGTTCCTCATAGAACAGAATTACCTTTTTCTTCATCTTGGCCTTTTGAGACAGAATCTCCCTATGTAGTTCGGATTGACCTTGAACTCACTATCTAGCACAGGCTGGCCTTGAACTCCTGACCATCCTCCTGCCTCAGCCTCCCAAGTGCTGGGATTATAGGCGTGTGCCACCTTTGTCTTTTAAAATTATTATTATTGTAGCAATTTGGCTTTCAAAACAAAACAAAATCTTTGTCATAATGAAGATGTTTAAAATGAGAAAAGCATCCAAGAAGTCTGACTCTTTAGACTCCCTGGTGCCAGCGTGCACACTCCTGAGCCACACTTCCTCCCAGAGTGCCCCTTACACAATGAAAGAGCCCAGCAGCAATGGTCCTCTGAACTTGGAATCTGGATGCTAGCAATGGGTCTGAACAATAATCTGTGTTTTAGCAGTTGTGGTTTCCTTTCTCATCTTTTAAATTTTCATTGAGATAGAGTTGGCCTTGAATTTACTATGTAGCCCTGGCTGGCCTGGAACTCAGTGATCCTCCTGCCTCAGCCTCCTAACACTGGTACTACAAGCATGTACCACCACAACCAGCTTCAAAGTGTGGTTTCTTTAATAGAGTGGGCGCAGGCCCACATCTAGTCAGGCTAACACTCATTCATTCATTCATCTCATTAATTTACTCATTCTTCCTATGAGTAAACACACACTGAGCACCTACTGTGGCCTGGGTGTTCAGTAAAAGTGCTATCTCTGTTGGGCTCCTGGAGCCAGGGATTAGGAATGTGCCCAGCACATTCTGGGATGAGCCAGAGGGGAGTTGGGGAAGGTTAGCCCTGGAGTCAGCAGGAAAAGCATGTGCAAAGGCTCAGAGGTGCCAGCTGGCAGGTCCCTACGGAGACTGGCACGAGGAAAGGGCCGCAGAACCGTCGCAGAGGCCTTTAAGGGGAAGGCACTAAGGCCGTGAGGAAGCGCAGGGCAGCAGGAAAGGCAGTGTGAAGAAGGAGCAGGTCCTAAGGGCGATGGGGTGGGGAGAAGGTGGGAGGGCACAGGGACCCCAAGTCAGCGTCCTACTGAGGCAGGAGTAGGGTGAGAGAGCCAGGGAACCTGGGCCCTGGCACAGTGGGCTCTAGGATAAAGGGTCGAGGTGGCACTCAAGTTCCCGGTGTGTGCCCCTGGGGAGCTGGAGGACAGCAGTGCTCCCGTATCTCTGCAGGACCCTTTAAGACTCCGCAGTCCCCCACGCCAAAGTGCTGCCAGTGCCCGGCATTCCTGCAGTTCCCAGGGGTGCCGAACAGCCCCCAGGTCAGTTTCCTTCCCTGGCCCCACCCCACTTCCCGCCCTTGGCTGGTTCTGACATTGAGAGGGTCCAGCGCTCTGGAAACCATCAAGCCCTGGAGAGGCGGCCAGCCGCTGCCTCCTCCCCCCAGTGAGAGTCGAAGGTGGGGAGAGCCCAGCCTCTGCGGCACCCCCATTCCACTGCTGACGATGAAGCCAGCATGGGCCCCACCCACTTGCTGGTGCCCAGCAGCCTCCAGGGGGAGTTTGCTGCTCTGACAGCCCTGCTGACTTCCGGAAGGGGAACTCAGGTTGCCTGGAGACTCGGTAGAGGAGAGTGCGGGGCAGGTGATGGAGGTGAGAAACAACAGCACAGGCCCAGCAACCCGGGGCGGGGGGCACAGTTGGGATGAAATCCTGTGAGGGGAGGGGAGCCCTGGGGTTGGGCTTGGGACCGGGGAAGAGGCAGAGGAGTCTTACCTTGACCTGGTCCAGCACCACCAGGGGCCCATTGACACTGCACACCGTCCTGTAGGCTTGGGGAGGGGAAGGAAGTGGGTGAGGGTCTCCCCGCCACACGCTCACCTCTGAAAGTTCTGCTGCAGGATGGTCACAGACAGACAGACAGACACACACACACACACACACACACACACACACAGAGGCATCCTTACTCTGCCTTCCCTCCCTCTATACACCCCACCTCCTCTCCAGCCCGGGCCATCAGGGTCATTAGCTGTGACAGGGCCAGCCACCATTGCTGTAAGGGTCATGCCCCTGCCCACAGGGCCCCCGCTGCCTCGGACACCTGCAGGAGGCTGGGGGAGGGCTGGCGAGGGCAGAGGCCTCCTCAGAGCCCTCCCCAGCTGGCCTCAGCCCCCACCTCACACACCCCCTCCTCTCGGACTCACAACATCTTCCAAAGGCCTCTGGCCCCCAGCTGTGGCCCAGAAGTGCCCTCCTCTGCCCCTCCCCAGGCCCGCGTTTCCCTCCGTCCACCCCACACCGGCTGAGCACTGTGGGAGGGAAGCGGGGCTGTGCTGGCTTGCTTGAGAGAAACCAAACAGGGCCTCTGCCCTCAGCACCAGGCCCAGGCACGGCCCTGCAGGGAGGCTCCGGGCTCCCCTGGCTCGCTGGGTGCTCCGAGGGGGCAGAAAGGACATATACAGGAAGGAAGGAGTGTTCATGGACCGAGTGTCTGGGGAGACTCACAAAGGGGAAATGAGCTTGGCTCACCAGCTGGGATTAGGCTAGACATCGGGAAACCTTTGCTGCCCCAGCGGAAGAAGCCAAGGACTGGCAGCCAGGAAGCCTCGCTTTGGCTCTGGTAGAGGCTGGCTGCACGACCCTGGGATGGGCCCCTGCCCAGGGCAAAGAGGTACCCTGGGTTCTCGTGTGATACCAAGGCACACCTGAGATAAAGGAACTCGGCAAGGCAGGATGGCAGTGCTCGGTCCCTCAGGCTGGCAGGAAGATGGGACCCAGAAAGGGAAAAGCTTTCCCGGGGCCGCACGGATGTCTGTGGCAGAGCCAGGGCTGGGCCCTCCCTTGTACTCCTCTGAGACCACACCGGCCCCTGGTGTGGCCTTACTGTTGCTTCGGATCATGCCGGGCCTCAAGCCAGCTGATGCCACAGAGAAACCAGGAGCCCCTTGCCCAAGCCCTGCCCCAGTCGGGGCTTCTGTGATCAAACCCCTTGTTTTTGTCTGATCTAAGTTCCTTAAGGAAAGCATGTGCAGAGCAGCTCTGCTGGCCGTTGGTGCCCCCTCAACTCCATGCCCTCAGTCGACCTTCAATCCCCTCTACCCAGCTGCCCTCCCCTTCCCCCTTACCCCAGGAAGGCGAGGCAGGGCCCTCGCCTTGCACCCAGATCCAGGCCCTAGGGATGGCGCCTCCTGGGGCCAGGAGCCAGTCCCCCCCCCCTCCCGTGCTCTTTCCATCAAGCAAGCTCTGGTATCTCCTTCTAGAACACTCCTTAAGCCCCAGAGCTCCTCCAGGGCCTGCTCTCGCCAGCAGGGTCTCCACTGATTCTCCCCTCCCCCACCTGCCTCCTGCTCCTCCCTCTCCGCTTTGCCTCCACACGGCCTTCTCTGGAGGCCGCCTGAGCCTTTAGACTGCCACCTCCAAGTGACCCAGCGCATGCCCCTGCAGGCAGGGTGCTCGGCTCCTCTGGGGAGTCCGCCTTGCCTGCTCGCCCCACCTCCAGGCTCCCCCTCAGGCTCCTGGGAAGGCAGCTTGGTGCCTCCTTTCCCACCCCGTTCCCGGGTGACTTGCTTCCCTCCTTCCCTCCTTTCCTTTCTTCAAGAATCCCTCCTCTGTCCATAGTGGGGACTGAGCCTGGGGCCTCACACGGGCAGAGCAACTGCTCTACTCCTGAGCTATAACTTCAGGACTTTTTATTATTTTGAGACAGGATCTTGGTGTATTGCTCAGGCTGGCCTCAAACTTGTGATCCTCTTGCCTCTGCCTTCCAATGGCTGAGATTGCAGGCATAAGCTATCACATTTACCATATGTCCTGGAGGCCTTCTTTGTATTGGGCTAGGCTAATATAAGTGGCAAATAAAACATGGAGCCTACAATCTAAAATAAGTGTCCAGTCTTAGAAGAAACAGAATTATGAACTGTGGTGGGTGCTAAGAAGGGAGAGAACGGGATGAGCGAGTGAGACGGGCCGGGGGACCAGACTGAGTGCTCAGGGAAGGAAGCAGCTCGTGGGAAGGCCCACTCCTTCCTTCCTCACTTTCTCCCTTCCTCCCTTCCTTCCTTCCTTTCTTCTTCTACCTTCTCTCACCTTCCTTTTTTCCCCCTTTTCTTATTCTTTTCACTGTACTGGGGATTGAAACCAGGGCCTTCACACTGAGCTATATTCCCAGCTCCTTTTAAATGTATTATTAATTTTTACAATTTTGAGACAAGGTCTTGCTAAGTCACTAAGTTGCCAAGCTGGGCTCAGACTTGTGATTCTCCTGCCTCAGCCTCCCCGGGTGGTGGTATTATGAGCATGCACGAGTGCCTGGCTGGGAAGGGCCTTTTGAGCTGAGCCCGGAGCGCCAAGTGTGCTGTCCAGCACCCCTTGGGTGTGGGGAAAGGGCCTTGTAGCTGTGGTGAGCGGCTCCGTGGTGAGAAAGAGCCCCGCCCTCGGTGCCTTGGGAGAACAGGGAGAGGGCAGTGCAGTGGCCAGCACAGGCTGGCTTCCACTGCAAGAGACAGGTCACCTCCAGGACAGCAGCAGAGTTCTCCCAGCTCACTGCTGCACCCACCTCTCAGAACGCTGTCGGCCTAGGGCAGATGCTCAGCAAGTATTTAGTGGATGAACTGTGGGAGACACTTACTGGTTCTTCCAGCTCATTCCCCTGTCCTACATCAGAACCAGAGCGTGGCCCCCACTTGCCCAGCCCCCCAAACCAAAAGAGAGTCCTGTTGCCTGGCCTGAGGCATCAGTCTCTAACTCCTGCCCGCTTCCCCTGAAGACAGGGTGGAAAAGACTAGAAAGAGGATATATAATGCTGCGGAGGTGGCAGGCATAGAGAAACCCCCCAGGAGGGAGGGTAGGGGACAGAGGCTCTGGCATCACCCTCCCCAGCAGGAAAAAAATTGCCAAACACCCGCACACCATCTCCTGTCCAGGGAGCGTCTGATCCAATTGCCTGGATCGTTAGGGTCAGGGCTGCGGAGAGCAGCGACGCTGGCAGCACCGGGAGGGGGAACGGATTGTGCCTCCAGGGCCAGGCGGGGCCTCAAGAGAGGTCACTTGTTTAAAAGCCCCACGGAAGGACCAGCAGCTTGCTGCTCCATAGAGAAACGCTCGACCTGCCAAAGGGCTGAGGTGGGAGACGAAAGCCGTGAGCCTGGGGTGAAAAGATGCAGAGTGGGTGGTCCCGAAGGGCGGGCAGTGTGGAGGGGGAGGGCCCGGGACGGAACCACTTCCAGTTCCACCTCCCGCTTCAGTTCACAGCAGCGCCCGCACTTCACAGCTTCTGTCACACGAAATCCCCATTAACTGTGACATCCAACAGCTCTACCTGGGGAGAGGGGGCGGGGACAGCGGGGATGAGGGTACCGGATCAGAGGACGCCCTGTTCCGAAAGGAGGCGGGGCTGCCCCAGAAGGGACCCAGGGTCCGAAGCTAAGTGCTTGCCGGCCCTCCGGGCGCCAGCTTCTCAGTTCCCCTCAGAGGGAAGGCGGGGTTGATGGCTGCCCCCAGCCCAGCCCACACGGTGGGGACCAGCGTGAGGTCTCTAAGCCCCTCACCTAAGCGCACCCGCCTCTTCTCTGCGCTGCCTTCCCGGCCTTGGCACCCTGAGTGCCCGGCTCTAGGCGGATTCCTAGAGCGGCGGGCTGATGACCTCACTCCCCAGCCTCCAGTCTTCGGGACAGAAAACCCACTGGCGTGCCTGTTTCTGGCGCACACTGGACTGCTCACACCCTCCAAGGCCCTTCCTCCAAGGGCCTCCTGCAGCCGTGGGTGCTGCAGACCGACTTCCCAGAACAAGCGTGTCTCCCCCGAAACTAGAGTAGGTCTTTTCTTCGCGCTGTCCAGTTTGGACCCGGACACAGTGGTGGCTGAGCGTGCTGAAGTCCTTGGCTGGCAGTGAGGCCTTTTGTCCGCATGCACCCCAGATGCTGGCTGTGTCCATTTCGTGGAGAGACAAACTGAGGCCCAGAAAGGCTGCCGACTTCTCCCAGGACACACCACAATTCAGGACAGTACCTTGTGGTACTCAGGGATTACGGCCCCTGCCCAACCCTGGATGTCCCCCTTGACCCTGGAGGGGACGGGGTGCTGAGCCGCCAGCAGAGAGCTGGCTCAGATGACCTGAGGGGCACTCCCTCAATGGGCCTCCCCCAGATGCTTGCCACCCCGCTCCATTGTCCTTGCTGACACTGGGCTGCACTTTGGGCTGCCGGCCAGTGGACTGCCTCCCTACCCCCACCTCCCCGCTGCCTGCCCTGTCAAAAGCTCAGCGGGGCTCCCGAACAGCGCTCTAATTAGCGCCGGCCCCGCCACACCTGCAGCGTCCCCAGAGAGGGCTGAGGCAGGCGCCCATGCGTGAGGCCGGGGTGGGGGCAAGCCCGGGGCAGCAGGTCCGCACCTCCTCCTGATCCCAGCTGGGGAGGTTAGGGGCGGGAAGGCAGGCACTGGAAGCCAGGGGTTCTTAGAATCAGCCCAAGACCCTGTGGCTTCCTCCCCTTTCAGTTGAGGAAACTGAGGCTGGGTAGCAAGCCTGTGCTCTGGCACATCAGCCCCTGGGTGATCTCACCTGGCTGCATCCCTCCAACCAGGCTGTCAGCTTATCCTTCTGAACCTTTGCGCAAGCTGTGCCCCCTCCCCAGCCTGGCAACTCTGCCCAAGCAACCAGATGAAGCTCCATGCCAGCTCCTCCCCACCGAGCTCTAGGGGAGCAACTCTAGCTCTGTGGGAGACAAAAGGGGGCCTTCTTCCCCAAGGTGGACGCTGCTTGTGTTCATCCCCACCCTGATGCTACCCTGCTTCCCCTTTCTGGACGGTTCTCTCACTGCAGGGACAATATCAACCTTGTGGCCTCCATTGTGATGGCTCTGCCTTCTCTAGGAGGGGAAGGCTTCCTAAGCTGCGCTCTGCTCACCTCTGCCCATGGCCCAGGCGGCCCTAGGGCTTGGCCTCTGGTCTAGAACTCTGCCTAGAGTTGGGCAGCCTGGGAGAGGGCTTAGCGTCCCAGGGTGGGAGGCCAGACTGGGAAGGAGGGCAGACAGGGACATGCAGTCTGCCCTCAGCCTATGGAGGGTAGCAGCTGGGGAGAGAGTGTCCAGATCGTCCCTGGTCCTGAGCCTGTCCCTGTCCTCAGGAGAGAAACACCTTCAGTCACTGAGAAGGACAGAAGCATCGGGGCGGGAGGAAGGGTGGCTCCTGGTGCAGCCTCTGAGGCCACTGTCGTGTGCAGCAAAGTGAAGGCTTTGGCCCCCTGCACCACCAGCCTTGGCTCTGGGGCGGCTGCGGGATGTGAACGCACCGGCCTGGCTGGGGGCCACACGCAGCCATCATGGACCAGGCCTGCAAACCTGGGGACACCGTCACTCCTGGGTTCCAGCCTGGCTTGGAACCTGTCAGATGTTGACTGTAAATAAGGAGCTGGCTGGGAGGGAACTGGCTGGAGGCTGCTCCAGACCTGTACAGTCCTGCCTGGGGGCGGCTGGTGCGGTGAGGCTGTACCTGCAGGATACCTTCCAAGGTGCATTTTCGAAAAGCAGCACAGAACCTGTAGGTCCAGGCCCCACACCCTGCCCGAGTGTAGCCTCTCCTGTCCCCACAGGTGGGGCGGAGCCGGCCTGCAGGGGTGAGTTACCACACGGGGAGGGGCAAGAATCAGACTCCCCAGCTCAGGCTCCAGTCCTGAGCTCTGGACTCACTGAGGCCAGGTCATAGCTTATTTCCAGCCCTCGGCAACTCCAGCTTTGGCCTAGGGGAACCTGAGCACCTGTCCTCCTCCCACCTCCACAGACAGGACCTGCAGGGCTTCCGTGGGAAACCTGACCCCACGCCACTCTCCCTTCTCAGCTGGTCTGTGCTGCACCCCAGCTGCTGGCTCAGGCCTTAGTAGGTGCCCCACATCGGGCTGTGCTCCCTGAGCCCCTGGGCTGAGTTCACAGTTGCGCTCTCATCCATGATTGGGTGGCACTGGTGGCTGCCACCCAAGGGAGGGAGGGAGAAGAGGTGGCTGCACCAAGCTCTTTCCCCTCACCCCGCTCGCCCTGTAGGGAGCCTCTGGCTCTGCTTAGCTGGGGCTGGCCAGGCTGGTTTGCTCCATCGAGCTGGACTGTCTGAGAGTTTGCTGTGCCAGGTAGAATGACCTTGGACAAGGAGACTGGGGGCTCCCTTTGATCCTCTGCAGCCTGCCAAGTTCTCTGCCCAGGCAGTGGGACTTGGCCCATCCCTGCAGAACAGGCACAGGAGGTCCCTGAGAAGCTTACAAGGGGATCCCCCGGCACTGGGGCGCATATACATGCTCCTGTGCCCAACACTGCCTTGCCCTAACTGTACACACACACTGCCACGCGCAGACATGTGACACTGCCCAAGCAGGAGCTCATGTGTTCCCCCTTGAACCTACACACACATCACATACCTCACTCCATGTGTTCAGGCATGCGCACGCGCACGCACACACACACACACACACACACAGTTACACGTTTCCTCCCCCAAAGCGAAGGTGGGAACACACCCTCCAGGCTCAGCCCCTACCAGCTCCTGTACACAGATCCCCCAGCCTAGAAGGCACACGCACCATTAACAACACGGTCACCCATTTCCTCATGCTGAGAATGCTCACATAGTCTACATCGCCACACCTGCTAGCCCAAGTCCACTTTATCATGCACGGGCTTGTGCTGGGCGTTTGGTGCGCATCACACACACACACACACACACACACACACACGTTCCCATGGGAGGATATACACATGTGATCTCTGTTCCTTTCTCTCTAAGGGGCAATTGGAAGACCTTTTTGGACTTAAGTGTCCGAGGCAGGATCAGGGTGAAATAGCTACTCCCCACCCTCTCCTGTGGGTCAGCCTGGGCTGGGCCCTCCACCCCTCCACCCGCCACCCTCACAGGTGACCCCTGTTGCGGGCTGTCCCTGCTGCATCACTCCCACTGGACCGAGAGCTTTCCCCTCTCTAGGTCTCCTCTTCCTCTTCCTCTTTGCAAGAAGCAGGGCTGAGGGACCTCATAGCCCACGGCCAGCGCACCGCAGCTCCCCACCCTGGCCTCACCCGCTGCGGGCTCTGTACTCACTGATTCGGGGGTGGGTGATGTAGTTTCGGGTGACTGCCTGCACGTGCTCTCGGGCTGTGCCTGGGTCACAGCCGCCGCCGGGCAGCCCCCCGGGCCTGCTGTCTACCTTCATAGCCATGGTGAGTGGCGGCTGCGAGTCAGGGCCTGAGAACGCTGGTGGCAGCTTGAAGACTGAAGACTTCGGGCCCAGCTGGAGCTGGAACAAACTGCCCAGCCTGAGCCTGCGGCCTCCCCTCCCCTTCCTCCCCTCTCCTCCCACTCCCTCTGCACTCCTCCCCCAGGCTGACTGTAAACAGGGAAGCTGGCTCAGCTCTGAAGCTTGCCCCACACGCAGCAGCATGTGCAGACCTGGGAGGTGGCTGGCTACCTGGGAGCCAGGGGTGGTGAGGGAGAAGGGCAGAGCAGGAATGCAGCTTGTCTAACGTCTATGCTTGGCTGTCCCTCGGCCCACACCCCTCAGGCTTCCTGGTCTCCTCTCTGGCAGGCTGCCCTCTCCTTGCTGGCCTCCCAACCTGCCCCCAGCCTGTACCCCTTGCCCTACACAATATTATCACGGTCTTTCCCCGGTATCTACAGAGGATTCTCTCCTGGCCAGTATCCCTTCCATGTCCTACAGAAGCCTTCCTGGGTTCCCCAGCACCTACCTTCGGAAGGTCTCTCATGTTGCTGAGTCCCAAGCTGAGCCCATGTCTCGTCCATCAGACCTAGGTCTCCTTATGCCTGTCATGTGCTACTGAGAACCCCGAGAACCAGGGCTGATTTCTCAGTCTGACCCTAGGGCCCTGACGTTCTCAGCCTAGGATACAGAGTACAAATGGAGGTCCACATGTTCTGTATCTAAATATTTGGGATTACAGATCAAGCTATGCCCACAGCCTCACCTGTGTTCCACACAAGACTGCTGCTTCTCAGGAGCCCCCTTCACGCAGCTGTGCTTCCCCAGGGCCAGCGGAGATAGCGCAGGTGTGGTGGGCCAGGCAGAATGGACGCAGGGAGGTGGCTGGCTGGGCCCAACCCAAGGTCACCTGGGCACCCCCATGTCTCATTCCAGACCCAGGGGTTCCCACATTGTAAGCACTTACCCAGGTGCTATCGCCTGAGTAGAGGGAAGGGCAAGGTGCTGTTGTGAGGATCCCCGTCCTGCAGCACCCCATTCCAGGTAACTTGAGCAAGGCAGCCAATTTGAAACTGTGTCCCCAGAGCAGCCTGGAACAGACTGCTTGCTTTTCCATCCCAAATGGTCCAACCCTCACCCCGCATCCTCTGGCTGAGGACTCATTTCAGGTCTCTGGCTCCTCTAACACAATTCCCACTTCGGCAAAGAATTCTGTTGTGGGCAGTAGTGGGCGTGACTAGCACGGACATCTTCGTGGGGCTGGAACTGTTCTGCATCCTGACTGCATCGTAGGTTTGCAATCTACACAGGCGATGAAATGACAAAGAGCTAAACACAATACCAGTGTCAATTTCCCGGTTTGATACTATCCTAGTTCTGGAAGATACAACCACTGAAGGAAAGTGGGTGAGGAGACTCCTCTGTCCTACCTTTGCAACTTCCCATCAATCTACAATTACTGCAAAATAAAAGCTAAACGCCTTGAGCAAAGAAGCTTTTGAGAAAGTGTTTCCTGTTGCAGTGTTTGCCATGGGCAGGCCCTCTCTGAACACTGGGTGCCTGGCATGTCCTCCTTCCTCCCTTCGGACCTGCTCTCACCTTGCAGCGTTCATTCCCCTGGAGGACTTTGCTGTTTCCCCCTCTCAAATATTTCCCAGTTTGCAGGAAAGCACTGATGTTGTACTGGGGAGTTGGGGTGCCTGGCTGGGAGCTCACTTAGGCGTGGGAATCAGGGGGTCTGCTGAGCCACACAGGTGGATGCCCTGACCTGCCTGTGATCCCAGGTTCTACCCAGTTCCAGTTGAGGTCCTCCTTGCTCTTAAGCCATTTTTCTTTGCAGTGAGGACAGGGATGGAAGGGAATGAGGTGGTGCTGCGGGGACTGTTTCCCTTCTTGTCATTGTTTTCCTTTATTTCAGTGAGAGATGCGCAGCACACACACACTGCACTCACACACACAAGCTGCGGGACCAAGGCCAGTCGGTCGAGTCTCTGAGCTGAGGGCAGGTGCGGGGAGCTGCGGCTGCTGCCCTCCCTGAAGGGCCTGCTCAGTGCAGTCCTCTGGGGCCAGGAGGCTGGGGCAGTGCTGTGCTGGGGACTCAGAGTCACGCAGGGCTGGGAGGCTTACGTGTTAGCTTTCTTGCCACCGCCACCAGGACTGCCTACTTTCCTCTCTAGCCGGTTGTAGGGCTCAAAGGCGGAGGAGCCCAGTTCGTAGCTGGCAGGTAGGTCCAGAAGTGGGACCGTGGAAAAGCAGATGGTCGGCAGAGGGGGCGGCAGCGGAGGGGATGCCGAGGCTGAGGGCAGAGGATTGAGTCGCGGAGAGGAGTTCCTGGGGTCGCCCAAGGAGGTGCCCCGGTGGCCAGCAGGCGGGTCTGGCAGGCCGGGAGTCAGCGCCAGGAGGCTGGGCGCCCTGGGTACAGATAGCAGCCGGCCCTGCTCCAGCAGCCGCAGAATGTTGGAAGTGGCAAAGGCCTCAGAGGCAGAGGATGCCCGCTTCTCCAGATCTCTGCTCTGGTCTTTCTTCTGCTTGGTGCGGCGGTTCTGGAACCAGACCTTCACCTTGGGGCAGTGGGTGAGGAAGGGGAGAAGCCAGGCAAATCAAAGTGGGGCAGGTGGGAGGAGAAAAGGAGGAGTGTGTGGGGCCAGGACAGGTGGTGGATGGGGGCCAAGGGGAAGGCAGGGGCACAAGGCACAAGAGCAGGAAGAGAGAAGGAGAAAGGGGAGAGGGAGAGAGAGAGACAGAGAGAGAGAGACAGAGAGAGAGATTGTCATTAAGTCTTCCCACAACCAGCCTGCCCTGGGTGATCTGATTAGGGACCCTTGTCCCCAGTTTATGGACACCCATCATTGCTAAAACTGACACTGGCCTAGGATGGAGGAGTGGGTCGGCAGACAGAGGTGGAGGTTGTGGCGACAGCTGATGTCCTCAAGTTCCCTTCTTGGCCTTCATCCTCTGCTCTTAGCCAAGTAAGACTTCGCCACCATTTATGCACTGGTAATTCCCAGCTTGGCCCAGGCCCAAGTCTCTGAACTGAGGCTCAAGCTGAGTATCCACTTGCCCATGAGACATCACCCCAAGGATGTCCCAGAGGGCCCCAAGCTCCATCCTGACAGACACAGCTAGCTTAGGCCAACGCTTCCAAACGGGGGCCTCACTCACATTCCATCGCCCATTGTGGCCGTCCACCAAGTAGAAACTATAAGCCCCCTCCCACTCCTCAGTGCAGACCCTCCTCTCTCCCCTTGTCCTCTCTGACCTGGACATGACTGCTCTCTCTACAGCAACACCATCAGAGCCACCTGAAGAATTTGTTTAAATTCTCACTGCTGACCTCACCCAACCAGCTCCAAACTGGGGTGGCAGGACCCAGGGCCTAACAGTTCTTACAGCACCCCAGGTGACCCAAGGTGACAAAACCAGTGCTCTAAAGGTCTCTCTGTCTCAGGTCCAAACCCTAACATCTTCAGGGCAAGAGATAAAATGAAAGCCTCTGCCAGTGGCCTGCCCTGACACACGTGTGTGGGCACTCCCACCTGATCACAAAGTACAAACACCCCTCGTGGGTGTTCCAGAGGGTTCTGAATACTGTCTGTGTCTGATGTTACTTGGAGGGCTGACTCAGAAGAGGATGAGGAGAGCCCTAGAAGTATCACTTGGCAGGGAGCTCTGGACTCCTAGGCACCTGGGGGGTGGGGTAGAAGGTGGGCATGGCCCCTGGTGACCACGGCCTCTTAGCTTCATAGAGTCTTTACCCCATATGGAGGGACTTGGCCAGAGAAGGCCAAAATGGGACCCTCTGATATGTGGGGCGTGAGGCCCCTTCCTTCAGTGGCCCCGCCTCCCATTTCCTATACAGACAAGTTTCTCCACGCAATACCAAGCAGGACCGGATGCAGCAGGGTGTTGAGGGGGCTTCTAACAGCCACACACTCAAAGCTAAGGACAAAGAGGTTTCAAGTATGCCACTTTCTAAAAAGAGCCACAAAAAGGAGCAGAGACCTTTTCGGAGTCCCTGGAAGGAGGTACACCTTGCTCGCCATCACCACCGCCAGGGCAGCCCAGCATGGCTGTCCCTTCTTCATCTGCATGAGAAAAGGGAGGCTGGGAATGGACAGTTCCCTGAGGGCTGCAACCCTGGGACATAAGCGTTTTTTCTGTCTCTGGGGCTGGAAGCTGCCCTCGCAGAAGGCAAGTCACGGGGCCCAAAAGAATCACTTGTAGGCCCTGGAAGTGCCCTTGGCAGGAGATTCGCTCAGCAGCTGGCAGATATGTCAGACGATCGCTTCACCGCTGCCACCTCCAAAGCTCCTAGACTCCTATCCCAAGAGTTTTTGCCCAAGCTGGGGCAGCACGTGCCAGCAGGAAGAGTAGGTGCCACGGAGAGGAGGACCCCGAAGGGTAAGTATGGGGAGGTCTTGCTTGTTCTCCCAGTCTTCAGAGGACCCCAATGGTCCAGCCGCTCCGCTGGCACAGAAGTCACGTTTCTGCCCTTGGGAAGGAGAGAATTTAGCAAGGAGGGCACAACCCGCTCCCAGCACACGGCAGTTAGGTACAAGGGAGTGGCAGTGACGAGGAGTGTGACTAATGCGGAATGACAAAGCATGTAGGAGGGGCTGTCCCCCAAAATACCCTTCTTTGTGCAGCTGCGGGTGTAGCAAGGAGAGGTGGGTGTGGCTGGCACTGGGCTTGGCAATCTCCTGGGCAGGTGGGCCTTGGAAAGAGAGAAGGCAGAGGGCGTGTGGGGCAGGGGCTGGGACCTGGTATGTCACCTGCTGGTGTGCATGAGTGAGCCAGGGATCCTCAACCCTGGCTGTGCGTTGGAATGACCAGGGGGCACTCTTCTGAATTCTGATGTCCAGGTCCTGCCTGGTACCCATTTGACCAGAATTGCTAGGGGGTGGGACCGAGGCATTGGGATTGTTCAGAAAGCTGGGTGAGTGAGTAGGCGGTTCCAAGGCACTGTGGCTATGGCCAGCTTCCAGGGTGAGAGAGTCCTAAATTACTTAGAGCACCCATGGAACCCCGTGAGACCCAGCACATACCAGCCAACAGAAAAGACATGAGAAGAGCTGTTTCTCTGCTTCCCACCATCAACCCCATGGTCCCTAGGAGCTGGTTCACAAGGCTAAGCCAACATGAGACAAACTGATGTCAGAAGGGCTCAGAGAGCCTGTCCCTTCTCCTCTGGGGAGCCCTCAGTTTCACCTGAATCCAGGTACTGGCCCTTTACGGCTCTGTTCAGTCACTCTTCCAGGAAGCCACTCTGGGCCGCCCGTATGAGATGACAGGGCCACAGTCCTATCCTGCAGTGCAGGGCACTTCCTGAGGTGTCACCAACCGCCCTTTGTCTTCTGAGTGCTCTATGGCGGCCTCTCTTCACAGCGCCATCTCTGCTTGGGACTCAGTGAGCGCTTGGTGCCTTCACATTCTGATCTCTTTTGGGGCCACACCGTGACCAACGCTGCACGTCAGAGGAGGGGCACGGTTTCAAGGACAAGGGGGATTATCCATCGTGTGCTCTGGGCTCATCATCAGTGTTAGAGTCAAAGACTCACTGTTCGTTTGGAAACGGTGTTAATCTTTTTAAAGACTGCTTCCTGTGACCGTGGGAACAGAAGAATCTGAGACCAACCGCACCTGAGTATCTGGAATGGCCTCGGGCTCTGTGACCTGCATTGGGAAGGTGCTATCTATTCTGCTATTCTGGCAGAAGCCATTTGGGTAGGGGCAAGGAGTGCGGGGCTGAGGACAGTTGCTGATAGGCTGGAGCAGATCTTATGCCAGGACTTCACAGTTTGTTCCTGGCCTGTCCCCTGGACCTGCCTCAGTTTCCCAGACCAGCAGGGGCAGAGGGTGGAAGGCTGAGCGTTGGGAAGGACCCTGAGCCAGCCTCTCCCCTCTCCTTCCTCCTCAGCAACATCTTTTCTTATTTCTGGCTCTGACCCTGGAACCCTCATCACTCATTTATACGACACACAAATATCAAGTATTTGATACACACCAGGCATCGCAGGGGCTGAGAAAATGAAAGTAAATAAAACTCCACCTTGACCCACTTGACTCTCAGACACTAGGACTGGGAGACGTGGGTAGATCAGCAAGCATTATAGGGTGTTTTCTTAGATGTAGCAAAGAATACAGTGAGAAGATCCTGAGGTCAGGCAGCCCTGGATGCAATGCTGGTCTTTCCTCTAACTAGCTACCTGACTCTGGGAAAGTTTCTCAACCTCTTGGTGTCTCTGTTTCTCTACCACTAAAATGGGGATCATATTAATGCCTCCTCAGAGGTCTGCCATGGGGACTCCAGGGGCAGATGATCATGTAAAATGCCTGGCAGAAAGTGAGGTCTGCCATATCAGCTACTTGGATTTGGTCATTTTACCAGCATCAAATGATTTTCAGACATTACTGTGCATTAGTTTCACCTGGATGGGAAAATATACAGATTCTCTAGAAATCTGATCAGGAATCTCTGGCTGAGGTGGCACAGTCACCTATTTTTAATCGTGAACCCAGGGCAGTTCCATGACCCGTACCTTGAGACATGTTGCTTTAACCAAGCACCCAATTTTCTTTTTCTAAACAAACATGGTGACAAAGTATATGGAGAGGTTCCTAAAATCAGGAGGTCTCCAAAATCAAACGAACCTGTTCCTGTTCTCAAACTTTGCTCTTGAGAGGAGCATTCAGCACAAGTGCCCTGGTGGGGGTAGGGTGGGGATGGGGGTGGGGTGGTGAGAACTGGGTGGAGGGCGCTCTGTGAGAACCCTCCTGTTCTCGGTGCCCTCCTCTGCTGCACGGCCAAGGAGTCCTGGCAGGTCCAGGGCAGAAGTCACTCACTCTGCCTTGTTCACTGCTGACGTTGCAGGGGTCTTCCTGCAGAGCCCTGTTGGGGGTGAGGAGCAGAGGAAGGGCTTTGCTGTTCTGTATGCCGGTCCTGCAATTGGGCTTCTGATCACAAAAGGACGTGATGATGTAATTGGACACACAAATATCAAGGAAGAATCTAGGAATGAGAGTGGGTACTGAGCAAGCTCTACGTTTTCCCTGCCTGAGTTAAGTAGGACCTGCCTGCATCCTCTTGGTATGCAGGGAAGGGGGAACGGCACTGGTTGGCAGCAGGAGGAAAGTGGACAGACAGGGAGGCTGACACTTGGCGAGCAGGGGCTGCACCTTCAGTGGGACACCAGAGGGGTCTGAGAATACCCTCCTGCTGAGCCCTCAGGTCCCAAAGAACTGTGCACGTTCATATTCTCTTAAGCCTGGCCATGTCTCCTCTTCTTGAATGTCAGCAAAATCAGGCCTCTTTTTTTTTTTTTTAAATCCTTTTGTGTCCATTAATTATTTGAGCACACTTGAAAGAATCTCTCAACCCTTCCCCCAAAAAACCCTGCTCAAGGACCTCAGATAAATCAGAGAAAACAAATCCCCCTCAAAATATCTGACACACCTGCCTGATGTCTTTACTGGATCACAATAGAACGGAGCAAGCCACGCTCTTGATCCTGCTTTTGATTCTGTTCCACTGCCCAGCTCCTACAGGACCTTACCAACTCATGAAGGGTCTTACCACTCCCCAGTGCTCAGGCCAGTAGCCCCTAACTGGTCCACTTTGTCCCCTGTGATCCACACTCCAGGTGGCAGCCAGAGTGAGTTCTATAAAATGCCGATCATCTCATGTCACTCTCCTTTCAAGGCTTTACTATAGGCTCTAAGAACTGTGTAACTTGCTCCAACTCCAGCCACACTGGCCTTCTGACACTTCTAGAACATTCTATGCCAGGTCCCACTCCCAGGTCTTTACAGTTACTCTCTGCCTTGATTTCTCTTCACTTCCTCCTCTGGTTATCTCTCCCCTGTCACTGAGATCTAAGGTCCCCTCAAAGATGCTTTCCCTGACCATCCCAACGAAAGAGTTCCTCTGAGTCTATCACACTAACCTATTTTATGTCCCTCATAGCACTTATCACCTTGAAGTGCTATTTGTCTTTCTCTTCATACATGTAAGCTGCTCACAGCAGGTGCCTGGTCTGTGTTGATCTCTGTCCTAACCCCAGTACCTTAGAACAGCACCTGATGGTTAACAAGTATTCAACAACATTTTTGGACAAGAGTATGGATGAACAAATGTACTAACAATTCCATGGAATTCTAGCTAAATAACCTTAGGCAACTGAATCTCCCTGAGGCTCACTTTTGTTAAGCAGGGATAATAATATCCATAAAGCCAACTCTTCTAAGGTTAAATGAGCTAATGAAAATGCCTGCTTTGGGCTGGGGATTTAGCTCAGCGGCAAAGCGCCTGCCTGGCAAGCGCAAGGTCGTGAGTTCGGTTCCTGGTACCGGAGAAAAACCAAAGAAAAAAAGAAAGAAAAAGAAAATGCCTGCTTTAAGTCTTGAGTGAGTTATGTAAATTTCCTATGCCTCGGTTTCCTAGTGAATATAGATCTATTGTAATATAATAAAAAAGTATTTGGTCTTTGGCCTGGATCCTGGCACAGGGCTCCCAAAACCCCTGGAGCATCCTGAGGGAAAGGAGTGCCTTAGTCACTCATAGAGAGCCTTTTCCCACTACACTTGAATTTATGTTAATGAGGTGACTCTGGATGCCGTGATAGTTTCAGCATGGAAGCTGCTCCCAGAAAGAGAAAACACTTGGTAATGGGGCGGGCATTTTCAGCAGCCCCCATGTTCAGGGAGGGGAGGGGCTGGAGGTTGGGTGGAAGTGCTGGGAGGCTGGGACATTGGAGAAGGGGGCAGCTCCTTCTCCCCCCTTGCCCCATGCATCTCTTCTGCTTGGCTGGTCCTAATCTGTGTCCTTTGTGATAAAGAAGCACATATAAGGGAAGTGTCTTCCTCTGCTCTCTGAGGAAGGGGACATGGAAGCCCCTAATTAACGGCTACTCGGTCAGAGGTGCAGATGGCACCTGGGACTTGTGACTGTCACGTGCTGTGGCGCTGTGTCCCACAACTGAACTCTTGACCTTTGAGGTGTGGGCTAACTCTGGGAATCAGTGTCAAAACAGATGGTGGGACACGCAGCTGGTGGCGGAGACCTGGAGAACGGGCTGCTGGTGGTGTTGGAACACAGCCACCTTTGCGGTCAGAACACCTCACTGAACCCACAAGGTTGTGGAGAGAACCAAACGAGTTCGGTTATGTGAGGCCTAAGAACACGGCCTTGCCCATGGGAAGCTCTCGGTCATTGCTGGCCCTACATTATTCATCCTACTGCATGACACCAGGGTCAGGGAAGAAAGCAGGGCATGAGCTGTCAGAGGAAAGCGAGGACCCACCCAGGGCACACTGTGTGCCTAGCTGGGCTCTGAGCTCTTCCAGGCTGCCCGAAGAAGACAATGCCCTTCAAACACGTTCTTGTCCTTGGGGTGCACATGCTGGTTGGTGTCATCACAACACACAGACGCACAAACACACACTCTACGGTTCATGGAAAATGTCTCTTGAGATGAGGACAAGGTGCCTCAGGGAAGGAAGGGCTCTTGGCAGGGCAGAGGCTTGGGCTGATGTCCAAGGGCTGAGGCTGCAGGAAGGGTAGGGGGCATGGTGAGGGACAGATGAGCACCCAGAAACTCCTGCTTCTAGGGTATCTGAGGCACCTGGAGAGTGTGGTTTCTGGGGATTTTAGGACAAAACTAGATGAGCTGGGGGGGAAAAAAAAATGGCACAGAGAAGCGGCAGGTGCTGCCTCTCTGCTCAGCCTTGAGGGTTGAAGGAGTCTCCCGGCCTTCCCAGGAGCTCTGGCCTGGGCCAGCCACACAGCCTCCTCTCTGACACAGGCCCAGCTTCTTAGCCACGGGCTGAGCACAGCTGACAGAGGGAGCCCTGCGGTGGCAACAAGAGGAAGCCACGTCCAAGGAGATGACCTATCCCTGCAGCCGCCAGCCCTTCCTGGGTGAAAGGGGTGTCCAGACCTCCTCCTGTGCACACAAGGCACACCGGGATGAAGGGAAAGTGACGGACAGTGACAAAGGGCCCAGACTGGGGAAGTGAGAGGTGCCCAGCCTAACTGGACCATGTCTCATTTCTCCTCAGAATCTGTTTTGTGCTGTGTGAGGCTACAGGGGCCCCCATGCCCAGCCTTGCCCCAGAAGCTTTGCTCCCAGCAAGCCAGCCCCTTACCATCACTTCTTGAGGTTCCTCTTACATGTCAGCCTCTCCCTAAGCCACTCCCTGGACCCTGAGCGCTCCCTATTTCTCTGGCCTTTCCCATCTTCCGCAGGCACCTGATGCTCCCGGAAGGACCCTCCCCCGGCATTTAACAATACTCCAGCCAGCACTGTAATTGCTCTGGTTCACCTGTCGCTTTAAGTCTTTCTATCATCCACATCTGAGCTCCTCGAGAGCACAGTGTCCTCTCAGCCCATAGCCTCATCCCCAGGGAGTCTGCAGGCTGCCAAGACTGGAGTGAGGCCTAGGCCCGGCCTCTTACCTGCGTCTCGGAGAGGTTCAGCTGGCGGGCCAGCTCGGTGCGCTCTCGGCCCACCACATACTGGCAGCGCTGGAACTCCATCTCCAGGCGGTACAGCTGCTCAGCAGTGAAGGACGTGCGGGTCCGCTTGGGTCGGTCCAGGTCCAAGCCCTTGGGCAGGACAATTTCTCGGATGGTGCCCTTGGCATCTGCAAGGGCCATGAAGGGAGCCAGGTTGGTTCACTGGCTCGGTTAGGTCACCAACAAGCATCTTGGTTTTTAACTCTTTTTTTTTTTTTTTTCCCCGGTACTGGGAATCGAACTTACAACCTAGCTCTTGCCAGGCAAGCACTACGCAGCTGAGCTAAATCCCCAGCCCGGCCCAACAAGCATCTCGGTAAGAGCCTAACAGGAAGCTCCTCTGGCCTGGGCCTGCCTCTGTGGCCTCTAACAAGTTGCTCACCCTCTCTGGGCCCAGCTTCCTCAATTGCCCAATATAGTACGTTTGTATCAGTACAAGTGTCAGGTCTTCAAGGCCTGGACAGAAAGGATTCACTCTGGCCTAGTCAGGACTCTGTTTCCTTAGCAGACTAAGGACCAAATGGAAAGAAATATGCTGAGTCCTCAAGTACAGAAGAAAAGACTAGATTAGAATTAGGTGTGGTCCATCAGGTGAGGCATACTACAGCCGTGTACCTGTGTGTGTGTGTGCGTGTGTGTGAATACTCATGGGTGTGTGCTCTGTCCCACTGACCACTGGGGGTCCGTAAGGAGGTTAGCTGGTATGAGACAGAGGACAGACTGGGGAGCTGGGATCCATAAGAGAAGCTCAGGGACAGTGGCCACCACACCAGGATGCTGGAGTGCGTTCCAGAGAGGGACTTCCATCACTACCCATGGGCCTCAACAGCAGAGCCACATCCGGACTCTAGACCCATGCTCTCCATGCACACAGTCTCCAGTACTTTGGAGCCCATTTTAAAACACTGAGTAACCTGTAGTCCGTGTTCACCACATAGTCCCACTCGGTAACAGCACAAAGTGTTCAGAAAAGTAAACTATTCGGAGAACGGTGGTGACATTTATGTGTCAGGGTAAAAAGGATCCATGTGTAAACCACACACACTGCTGACTTAAATCTAGTTATTAAGATATGCTGTTAAAAATCAGACTGTGGGGTTGGGAATAAAACTCAGTGGAAGAGCATTTGCCTGGATGCTTGGGGCCCCAGATTTGATCCCTGTCACAAAAACAAAAAACTGGATTGTGGCTGGGAATGGTGGTACAGGCCTGTAATCCCAGAGCTTGGGGGACTGAGTCAGGATGATTTTGAGTTCAAGGTCAGCCTGGACTACATAGTGATACCCCATCCAAAAAAAATAAATAAATCACAGTGGAAATATGCATTATTGTACCTTGTAGGGTTTACCAAACTCCCAGTGGATGATGTCACTAACAGTGAACCAAAGCTAATGGTAATTTACCATTTCATAGGCGAACATCAGCGATAAAAGCCTTCGGTTCCAGGCAGCTCTGAAGAGGCCCAGTAATACCAACCTCTACAGCTGCAAGAATTCCAACTCCCTCTAGGGGGCGTAGACAGCTGTCGCTTGCAATGTGGCCAGAAGTAGCGTTAGTGGCAAAGGCTGGTCACATCTGAGTCAAGGACAGCTGACATTTCTGCAGTACTTGCTCTGGGTAGGTACTGTCTTAAGCACTTTAACTTTCCCAGTATCTCAGTGAAGTTGGAACCATTATTATCCCCATTTTACAGACAGAGGATCAAATTTTAAGAGTGTTACTCAAGATCATAGTGGTGGTGGTCACTAAACACTAGGGATGCTTTCATTTTACTCCACGAATATCCTCTCTTTGGGTAATCCTTAATAATTTAGTTGATAGCTTACAAGTGAGAGGATTTAGTCGTGGGTAAAAAAGGGATCTTCTGGATGGGTGCATCATTCCCTTGGAGAACATGGGAAAGGAGCTGTGTTTGGGGTGTGCTGTCGGCCCAGGGGCTCCTCATGATCCATGGGAACGGTGGTCCCACTTTTATGATCCTTGCCCTAGAGGGTTCACTTAAGCCCATCTTTTAACACTCACTTTATAAATCTGACTTCCTGGCTCCTGCCCAGACCTGTGAACATTCCCCACTCCAGTGGCTCCTCAGGGCTCCTGGCTCACATGTCCTGCCCCTGACCTCGGATGTTCTCAAGCATCTTCAGGTCCACAGCTTATGTCAGGGAGAAGATGAGTCAGGGTGGAGGGAGCCATCACTACTAGAGGTGCTGGACCTCTTGGGATGATTCAAGCTCCCCAACTTTAATTCTTTCCACAGTCCAAAAAAACGTAGTGTAAGGGGCTGGAGATTTAGCTCAGCGGCACAGCGCCTGCTTGGCAAGCGCGAGGTCGTGAGTTTGATTCCTGGTACCAGAAAAAAACCAAAAAAAACCAAAATAAATAAATAAATAAATAGGGTAATATTTTAACAACATTATGACTAGGTTGGCCTACTTTGCTTGGGTTACACTATTAGCAATGTGAGACAAGACCCAGAACCTCCTTACAACACCCCAAGTGAGTACATCTTCAAAGGCTGGTTTTATGAAATGTGTCTGAGGATGTGGATAAGAGGAAAGGGGAGCTGCACCTGGTATCAGAGGCTTCAGACTCGCCCCAAGGTTGCCTCCTGGAGCCCACCCTGAAGCTTCTGAGCCCAAGTCCTCACCATGAGGTCAAATCACACCTGGGCCCACCCTTCCTTCCTCCTGCAAGAGGAACATCGATACCTCAGGGAGTGGCCAAGGCCAGCCATCCCCCTGAGGGACACGGGAAAGGCAACCCCAGACTTGCCATCTCAAGACGTGCCATACAAAGAAGCCTGTGAAAAGATGTTCCACATCACTAGGTACTAGGGAACAGCAAATTAGAGTCACAAGGAGAAACACCTATTAGAAAAGCTGATTTAGACAATATGGAGAGTGCCAAAGGCTGGGAGGGGTGCAGGGAAACTGGATACCTCATACCTTGCCGGTGGGAGCGTAAAATGGTGTAACCACTTTGGCAACTAGCCTAGCTGTTTTTTGTTGCTTTTAGTTTTTCTCAGAGTTGAGGACTGAACCCAAGGCTTCAAACATGTTAGGCAAACATTCTACCACTGAGCTACATCCCCAGCACTACCTTAGAGTTGAATCTAGTTTTCATATGATCCAGTGATGGAATTCCCGAACATTTCTTCTAGAGAAATGAAAGCCTATGTTCACCCAAAAACCTGTACACAAATGTGCACAGCAGTGTTCTTGTATAGCCCCTAAATGGAAGCAAACCAGAGATCTTTCAGTAGGTAAGTGGCTAAACAAACTTGTACAACTTACAACCACTCAGCTAAGAAGGAATCACTATTGATATCAAAACAATTTGCTTAGGGAATTATACTGAATAAAAACATCTAGTCTCAGAAGTTATATGCTTTATGTGTCCACTAATATAACATCAAAATTATGGAGGTGGAGAACAGATCAGGGGCTACCAAGGTTTGGAGATAGAGGATATGACCATAACTGACTGGGTAGCTTGAGGAAGATTTTTTGTGATGACACTAAAGTTATGCATTTTTATCGTGATGGTCATATGAGTCTATAAATGTGATAAATCATAGAACTATATACAAGGACATAAAAATGAGCACAAGGAAAGATTGGTAAGATCTAAGGAAGGTCTGTAGTTCAATTAATTATATTGTGCCTATATCAATTTTCTGGTTTCAGTGGTGTGCTATAAGTACACAAGGTGATGTATGTGTAGGACCTTTCCATATTATTTTTTACAACTTCTCGTAACTCTATAGTTATTTTAAAACAAAACAAAAAAAAAACAAAAATGTGCGATAAAGCTAGAGCGATGTGTTGTCACAGAAACAGGCAAATTCATTAGCCAAAAGAATACAATATTTCCCCAAAGTGGTTCTGCATTCTGCTTTGGACTGTAAGATTATTTGAGATGGTGCATAAATATTTTTCACTTCAAAAGTTCTGCATTTATTTTAATGTTTACTAGAAAAAAATTAAACCTATGATTTTACGTGTTTAGGATGAGGGTAAAGAGAGTACTGAGTTTTAAAATGCATTATGGTGGGGGCTGGGGATTTAGCTCAGCGGCACAGCGCCTGCCTGGCAAGTGCAAGGTGGTGAGTTCTATTCACGGTACCGGGAAAAAAAAAATAAAAATAAAAAATAAAAAAATAAAATAAAATGCATTATGCTAAAGTATTAAGGAAATAAGTGGGATACGAACATACCAAACAAAGAGGACACTTAAATGACTATTGGGAAACAACAGAATGAAGCATACACTTTCATCACAGGTACGTATAGTGATGGAATTCATGATAAAGGAGCATTCTAAATGGAGCCAGGCGTGCCAGTCACTCAGTGGAGCTAAGTGGACTGGTGACCATAGATTGTATACTTGGAGTAAAATTAAGTTAAATTCCTGTCTTATACCATAAATAAGAAATGTAAGTAGACTGCAGAGCAAAGCATAGGCAGTAAAATGACAAAGCATTGTAAGAAGATATATAGGGATATTTTCATAATTCTGGACTTGTTAGGAGCTTGCTACAAGAGAATACTGAAGGTCATAGAAGGATACACTTGGCCAAATTAAAGCTAAAACTTACAAAAGAAAAGCACCAAGACCAAGGTAAAAACACAATAAGTAGGTTTGAAGAAATCTTTTAAAGAGGCAAAGAAGCCTGCATGCAAAGAAGCCTGCAATCCTAGCTACTTAGGAAACCGAGTTAGGAAGGTTGAGAGTTTCAGCCTAACTGTGCAATTTAGCAAGAAGATCCAGTTTCAAAAACAAAAACAACAAAAAAGAAATACTATTGCCAATATACAAATAAAAGCTCTTTCTTTTCTTTGCTGCAGTGTTGGGGGTCAAACCCAAGACCTCCCACATGCTAGGCAAGTGTTCTGCTACCAAGATACACTCCCATCCCATAAATAAATAATTTTTAAGAAGAGAGAAATAGCCTGCTAGAAAAAATGCTCAAGTGAAAAGACATCCAAATGGCCAATAAACATATGAAAAGAGGAGCATAGCTTCACAGTAATCGGGATAAAGCAGTTCCAGCAGCAATACAAAGCCACTGATCTCCCATGAGACTGGAAAAACATTAATGGGTGAGTTATGCACTGCAGGGAAATCC